AAAAAAAGTTGATTCACTCTAAAGTGTAATTGCTAATATAATGTTTTTATTTAGGCTTATGATATTTTGGATACTTTTATATAATATTTTATCATGCCATATTGTATTTTTATACATATACACGTATATATATATATACATATTAAATTTAGGTATTTTTAAACATATTTAGAAAACATCTTTATACAAATATAAAATTCAAATGTTTTTTAAAATGTTTTCTTTCCAAAATAGTTTAAAAAAATTGTAGATGACTTCACATCTTTTAATAATAATACATAAACCATTACATACTTTTACATATTTTTAATATTTTAAACATGCAAACTTTATGTTCTCTTATACAAGTTAATTTTATATTGCTGATACTAAACTAATATACGACGGTAAATTATATCACATATTAACCCCACATTTTTAATTTATAATATTTTTTTGCTCTTTTAAATAAGATAATGGTTCCCATTACTTGAACTGGATACCTATTTATAATTATTATTTAATATTATTTACCCGTGCAACGCACAGGGTTACACACTAGTTTTTTTTCCAATTATAGATAGTAATCAATAATTATTACACATCAAATCAACTTTAATTAACCATTCATTTAACTAGTAGAGAGCCCGTGCGATACACGAGGTGCACAACTTTAAGGTTATTTATCCAGCCTTATAATTATATAAATGAATAAAGAAAAATGTACATGATATATATAGTACGTGACCTGTGCGAGACACGAGATATATTTGTTTGGGGATTATTATACTATAAGATGCAATATTCAATAAAAGTTTTACAATACACAAAAATAAATATAAATAATGTAAGTATCTAAATACATACATGATATGTAGAATAAATAAGTCAAATTGCAAATTTGAAATATAATTTAAATAATAACCAAAACTATATTTCACTAAACATGTACAAAAATATCTAAAATACATACGCGAAATAAAAAAGAAAAAAAAAAGAAAAATATACGTTTCAAATTTTGAAATTAAAATAAAAATCTAAATAATTTGGCTTACAGTTTTATCATGCTGAACCAACTCGAGATATGATTTGTATGTACTGCCCCAGTCTTGGAAAAACATTATCACAGTTCGAACTTTGAGCATAGGTCTATTAGACCTATTCACTTGTTTGATTAACCTAAATCCTTGATTCATTCTTCTGAATAAAAGACCGGTTGGGGATATTTTTTGTTCGCAAGAGGTTGACAGTGAGGAAGATGATGACTCGATATTTTCAGATTTGTAATTTATAATGGGTAGAGTAAATATATATTGTGTTAATATTTTTATTATAAAATCTGAATTTGAATATACATAAATCGGTTTGGACAAAATTAGAACAGATTTCCATACAATTAGATAATAAATAAAGCCTTTTCTATACTAAAAATTTTACGTACATTTTTTTTATTTATCGGACGTTATGGGATTTTTTTTAAACCGATTTTATGGGATATAATACAAATACAATTAGGGGATTGAACAAAATCAGAACAAATTTTTTTACAACTAGATAATAAGAAAGAATTAGATAACGAAAAGAAAGAATTATATAAGAAATTTCGAATGTGTTTTTTTTAGTATAAATAGACTTTACGTACAAATTTTGACTTCACCGATTTTATGAGATTTGCTTTGACAAAATCGATGTTAATATGGAATAAGACAAATAAATAAAGCTTTTTTATTTTTAGTAAATATTTTACGTCTTTTTTTTTTACTTAATATATGTTATGTGATTTTTTTTATTAAATTGATTTTTGGGATATAAGACAAATAAATAAAATAATTAAATAAAATTCTGGATAGAAATAACAATGCATTAATTACGTTGACTTTTCAACCTACTAAATTTGGTAAATATGATATCTTATTATATAAGTATAGATAGATAAAAGATATTATAGGCACGGTTTTATTATAAATGAACAACCATATTAAAATACATGATATTATAAATTTGCAATATTACTGAAAGATATCCTTATTATGTATATATACACTAATTAATACCATAACTTTTTAATTATGGTAAATTTATAAATATCCAATTATATTGTACATAACAAACCCTTGTTGGGAGACTCACGCACCATTGCCAGATGTACGACCCGGGTCGATCAACGAATTAGTCGGGGCATAGCTCCGGAACCGTGGTTGGCTACCAAAAACAAAGTCATAGTAATAATAGATTGTACGTAAAATTTGAACAAATATAAAAGTGACGCTAACTTGATTTATTGACATATATATTGATTGTACAAATAAATGTACAAATGTATGGATAATGTAAAATAAAAACTTGATTGTACAAATATACAAATGTATGGATAATGTAAAATTGATTTATAATTTAATAATTTTAGTTAACTGTTTTCTTATGTTTTCTACACTAATTATTTTAGCGAAATTAACTCATAATATAAATTCACAGCAATTTATATGCAACAAAAATAAATATATATCCCAAGTTAGCGGTTTTACCCATAACTTAATTTCAATTAAAATATGCACCGTACTACTACTCTTAAAAATTGATATTATAGTTTATGTGAAGATGAGAAGGATTAAAAACAATACATAAATGTGATACTTTATTAAAATTATAAAAGTATTAATTACTTGATAAAATTAGAAGTTCATTAATTAAGTTTAATTTTTCTATCTACTCTATTTAGTAAATAGGATCCCCATCATATTTCTCATACTTTTATATCAAATCAATTTTAATTATTTTATTTAAAATATTATTTTAACATAAACTCAAAATTCCATAAACAACTAACTATAGCACTTTTTGTAAAATTAACTTTGAAAAAACCAATAAAAACCAAACCAAATCAAATTCATATCTAATCACACACTTCTGCCCAATCTACTAAAAAAAAAAAAAAATTAATAAAAAAAGGCAATGTATATACTTGAAAAATCCTCCCTATATATAATTCTCGATTGCGCTGAGCCTACGTGGCTGTTTCTGGTGCTTCAAAATCTTATTTGGCAAAAAATCATGCTTCGTAATTAGATTTGGACAAATAATATTGATATATTAATAATTAATAATCTAGGTTCGGACATTCCATAAATACTATTTAGCTAACTTAAGTATTTTAATATCATTTGTACTAATATAACCCTTCACTTCCTTGTAATTTTACTTAGTGAGACACTAAGTGACTAATGTATCCCTGACTTTTGATTTGTTTCCTTCAATTAGCTATTGAATTGTAAATGTATTTTAAAAGTTGATAACTTTTGTATTTCTTATCGGTTTTACATATATAATATATCAAATTAATCATCTTTTGATAATCTTCGATTTGACATCCATATTGTATATTGAGATAAATAAATTATATTTATATTTATAATAATAAAAAATAATTATATTTATTAAAATTCATTAGAAAATATTTCTCAATTGATATATTTATGATTAATGTAGTTATATGTTGTAAGTTAAAAAAATTATTATAATATAGCACATGCAGAAATTCTATGGCACCACATGTGGCACCATATTATGGTGCCACAACATGATGTGGCACATTATGATTGGTGCCACAACTATCACATATCATGTTGTGGCACCATAATATGGTGCCACATGTGGTGCCATAGAATTTTTGTAACACAGGTAAGTCGCACAAATAAAAAGTGTCATACTAAATATATAATAATATATATTTTTTATAAAATGTATTTAAATTTCAACTATTTTTTCTCATTAATTTTAGATTTTAAGAAAAAAAATTAGCAAGCACCCGTGTAATACACGGGAGTTGTACTAGTTGTTAATATTTAACAATGTACGGGGGTAAATTCGTCCTTTACAGTTGCTAAAGAAGAAAGTTGAACAGTACACAGCAAATGACCCTGCCCAATTTTAGGCAGTGCCTTAACCATATAGGGGCAGTTTTTTGAGTTCAACACCGAATGTGAAGGGCTGAACGTGTCTGTCACCCATAGATTCTTCCTTTACCAAACTCATTTTTACTCGCACTTCAAAATTTTCTCTCTTTATCATCATCCCTTTATCTGCGCAACTGTTTCTTTTGCCAAATTTTTTAAATAATTAACTAAAGCACAAAAAAAGATAAGAGTTGGTGGCACAAATTAATAATGGTCAATTAGTCTCCTATTGTTATGGCACAAATTTGTTGTTCGGCACAATTACACTCTCCTCAGAAAACAAACACAGGTTTAAATGGAAAGCTTTTTTTATTTTTTTTTATTTTATTTTTGTGGGTTTGGGAAGAATATATATATATATATATTAGTAAAATAAATTCTGAAGTCACTGTATTTATTTATCACCAAGCCCTCCACCTCTCTCTCTATCTCTCGTGCCACAGTGGTATTTGTGAAACAAAACCCTAAAGGGGTTCTTAGCAAGAACCATTCGCCGCCAGAAATGATCGTTTTCTCTTATATAGCTTGTGACCCTTTTATTTGTCTCACTCAGTTTTTCTTGCACAGACTCTGAAACCCACCTCGTTTATGACCTCAGCTTGATTTTTGTTTTTTTTTTCTTTTTTTTTTTCACTGTAGCTTTCTTTTGTTGTATATGGACACTGTGATTGCTCACTGAAAATTTGGACATGGCTTTTTTGGCCAAGAATCAATCTTTGAGGCCTCTAGCGTTGCTGGGCATGTGGTGAAACTGGATTTCCTCTTTGTGCCTGATCGTATCTGTTTGATGGTTTTATCATCTGCATAAAACTGAGATAAAATCCTTTTGTTTTGGTCAAAGGTTGGATTTTTGTGAGCTCAAAAAGCTTTGATTTTTAATATTTGTCTGAAATGGGTTTCGGTCTGGAGGTAGTGTTGGATTACTGAAGTCCTGGTCGTGGGAGCTTTCTAGGGTTCATACGTTTGATTACTTACATTTGTTTTCTCTTTCTGGAATGAGCAGTTGTGAATAATTTGAGAAGTCTTATCTTGTTTTTCTTTGGGAATATTATATTTTTGTTAAGAATCATGTTGTCTGAACTGGGTAGGATGCCGATGATTGGGGATAATGATAATTCATTTGGGGATGAGTTTGAGAAGGAGATGGGTTTGCTCTTGCGTGAGCAGAGGAGGCAAGATGCTGATGAACTCGAAAAGGAGCTGAATTTGTATAGGAGTGGATCTGCCCCGCCTACTGTAGAGGGTTCATTGAGTGCGGTAGGTGGCTTGTTCAACCACGGGGCTGTTGAGGGTGGAAATAATGGTGGGGTTGGCATCGGCCCCGATTTTGCTGAGTTTGCAAGAAATAGAAGTGGGAATGGGTTCTTGTCTGAAGAGGATCTTAGGTCTGATCCTAAGTATCTGTCTTATTATTACTCGAACGTCAATCTGAACCCGAGGCTGCCTCCTCCTCTGCTGTCGAGGGAGGATTGGAGGTTTGCTCAGAGGTTACAAGGAGGGAGCTCGGCAATTGGGGATCGGAGGAAGGTGAATAGGAATGACAGTGGCAATGGCGGACGGTCAATGTTCTCTATGCCACCCGGATTCAATTCTAAGAAGCAAGAGAGTGAAAATGAGGACAAACTGCAGGGTGGTACTGTGGAATGGGGTGGTGATGGACTTATTGGGTTGCCTGGATTGGGGCTTGGTAGCAAGCAGAAGAGTCTTGCTGAGATATTTCAGGTTGCTTTTTTTTTTTAAAAATAAAAATTACTTGTGGATTATGCTTTTGTTTACTGGGGGATTTGGTAATTACAAGGTTGTAATTTGGCACTTGATATCTGACATGTGTATTGTTGCAAGTTTTCTTCTAGATACTGTGCAGTTGCATATATTCCTGTGTATTTATGTGTTGTTTCTTCCTTTTATATGTTTGTTTTCATGTGTATGCATGTTTTTTTTATTTTATATTTTATATTTTATTTTTGCAAAGTTTCTGAATATGGTATATCTCGTCTTGTTCAGAAAACAATTTATTGGACACGCGTCATAATTGTATATGAAAAAAGCTTGATTTGAGAATATATTGGTTTGCCAATTTTGTTAATTTGTGTATCGGAAGGTTATAAATCTTGGCTCAAAAATTGTGATTGCTTTGGTATGAATGGAATTTTGCAAAATGCTGCATCTTTGTCTTTTAAATTGTCTAATTGACCAAAATACTTCATTCTTGTGATTTGCTGCATGAGATAGACATCCTAGCTAGTATTCTTTATCTGATCGACTTGGTACGATAATGTGTTAATTTATCTCTAGTGTATCTGTGAGGAACATCTAGATGCTTGGAGTTAGATGCATCTTTCCATTTCCAATTTAAATGCTTTTTTGCGGATTGCATTGTTACGTGGCTTCTCTCCAAATCATATAATTTTTTAACTGAAAGTCAGATGGAATCTTTTTATTACTTTTTACTGATTGTTCCATTTTCGCTATTATATTTTTAAGTTGCTTGGAGTTAGATGCATATTTCCATTTCCAATTTAAATGTTTTTTTTGCTGATTGTCTTGTTGCGCGTGGCTTCTGTTCAAATCATATAATTTTTTAAACAGAAAGTCAAATGGAATCTAGTTATTACTTTTTACTCCGTTGTTTCATTTCTTTTTATTGTATTTTGAAATTGCTTCATATGTATGAATGCAGGACGATCTGAACCGTTCTTCTCCAGTCTCTGGACATCCCTCACGCCCGGCTAGCCGAAATGCTTTCGATGACAATGCCAGTGCTTTGGGTTCAGTGGAAGCTGAGCTGGCGAACCTGCGTCGTGACTCGTCTGCTGCACCCGCTTCGTATTCTTATGCTGCTGCTTTGGGTGGATCTTTATCAAGAAGCTCAACTCCCGATCCTCAACGTATCACTCGAGCTCCCAGTCCTTGCCCGACTCCAATTGGTGGAGGCAGAGCAGCAAATCCTGAGAAAAGAAACATCAACAGTCCTGGCTCATTCAATGCTCTCTCCCCTCACCCTAATAATGAAAATGCCGATCTCGTTTCTGCCTTGTCTGGTATGAACATCTCCAATGGTATTATCGATGAGGAGAATCATCATCTTACTTCTCGGGTCGATCCAGATGCTGCCAATGACCGTAATAATTATCTTTATAATCTTCAGGGTGGCCATAATAATAACTCAAGGCAGCAACATTCTTTTATGAAAAAGAACAATAACAATAATGTTCTTTTACAAGCTGAGCTGCAGAAAAACGTCGTCCCTTCTAATAAGAACTTGTACCTTAAGGGATCTAATGGTGGCACGCACTTTCAGTATCAGCATTTGGACAGCCCCAACAACTCATCCTTCTCGAATTATGGATTGGGCCCAGGGTACCCAATGAGCCCGATATCGGGTCAACTCGGCAGCTCAAATTTGCCACCTTTATTCGAGAATGCTGCTGCTGCATCTGCTATGGGTGTGCCCGGAATGGACTCGAGGATGTTGGGTGGCTCGAATATCGGGGCTGCTGCAGCCGAGCATAATCTCGGTAGAATTGGAAATCAACACACTCCTTATGTGGACCCTTTATATTTACAGTACTTGAGGACGGCTGAATATGCTGCAGCAGCAGCTCAGGTTGCGGCTCTTAATGATCCTTCGGTTGATAGAAACTATATGGGCAATTCGTACATGGACCTGATTCATAAGGCTTGTATCGGGAATTTACTATCCTCTCCTCAGAAATCACAGTATGGTGTTCCTTTGGGTGGAAAGACTGGGTCATCGAGTCCTCATGGTTACTATGCGAATCCCGCGTTTGGGATTGGATTATCTTATCCGGGGAGTCCGGTTATGCAGGGTTCGGGTGGTGGGCCCGGTAGCCCTTTGAGGCATGGGGACTTCAATATGAGATTCCCCGGTGGTATGAGAAATGTGGCTGGGACTGGGAGTGTTATTGGTCCATGGCATTTGGATAGCATGGAGAACACTTTTGCTTCTTCCCTGCTTGAGGAGTTCAAGAGTAATAAAACCAAATGTTTTGAACTCTTGGAGATTGCTGGCCATGTCGTTGAGTTTAGGTATTTCGTTTTTTTTTTCCCCTTCATAGAGCCACGTATTTTAAGTAAGATTGATATACCTGACTTGTGAAAACTTTTAAAACTGGAACTAGTGCTGATCAATATGGAAGCCGATTCATTCAACAAAAGCTTGAAACAGCCACAACGGAAGAGAAGAACATGGTTTTCCAGGAAATATTTCCTCAGGCTCTTGCATTAATGACAGACGTGTTTGGTAATTATGTGATCCAAAAGGTAGTATCAGAATCTGTATGATTTTGTTATATACTTAGTTCATAACTTTTAAGGCTGCTTTAGTCTCTATATATTTGGTTGGTGTTAATATTGTCTCTTCAGTTCTTTGAACATGGAATGGTGGCTCAAAGAAGAGAATTGGCTGGGAAGCTCTTTGGACATGTGCTTAACCTAAGCCTCCAAATGTACGGTTGCAGGGTGATTCAGAAGGTAACATTAGCCTTTAGATTTTCGAATTCTGTCGAAACAAAAAGCATAGCCAAGAAAATGCCTAATATTTGATATCATAAAATCATTTTTCATTATTGCAATCTTTATAGGATTGGTCAAATTTGGTGAAGTTAAATGATGGAAATGATTCTAGCCATCTGAACGGACGATAAAAATGCTGTCTTGTTATGTAGGCTATTGAAGTTGTTGATGTGGATCAGAAGATCAAAATGGTAGAAGAGCTCGATGGGCATGTCATGCGCTGTGTTCGTGATCAAAATGGAAACCATGTCATTCAAAAATGCATTGAGTGTGTCCCTGAAGATAATATTCAGTTCATTGTTTCTACGTTTTTTGACCAAGTTGTGACTCTCTCTACTCATCCATATGGCTGTCGAGTGATCCAGGTTAGAAATTAAATTCTACATTCTAACTTACTATCGATAGTTTACTGGCTGCACTTCCCAGTACCAATGTGAATGGGTTGCATTTATTTCGATTTGGCAGCGAGTTCTTGAGCACTGTAAGGATGAAAAAACTCAGAGCAAAGTGATGGAAGAGATTTTGGGCGCTGTAAGCATGTTGGCACAAGATCAGTATGGAAACTACGTGGTTCAGGTTTGTATCGTGTAACTATTACTTTTTCATAATGAAGTCTAGTTTGTACGTAATTTGATTCGCATGTTTCTATTTTAAATTATCATTTGTTTATTTTCTACTTTAAATAACAAAGCTGGACGTTCTTTTTGCATATCGTGTTTTAGTGTTTGGACATTGTTTCTTAACGGTTGTTCTTTTTCGGTTGGATATTTACAATTGTTTGCCTTTCTCTATCTATCCGTTTTTTTGTTTTTTTTCCCAAAAAACAATAAGGTGCATATAATTTTTTTAACCGAATTTATACCTTTTTTTTTTTATCTTTACTACCTAAAAGAACTGTGAAAGTCATAGGTTGCGATTGATTAAAAAAAGGTTTGCTTTATGAAGCTATTAGACTCTATTGGCTTATTATGAAGCTTTCTTAATGTGTATTTAATGTGTATCATTTCTCATGTAAATTTTACTATAGCACGTCCTTGAGCACGGGAAGCCGCACGAGCGAACTGCCATAATTCAAGAATTAGCTGGAAAGATTGTTCAGATGAGCCAGCAAAAGTTTGCTTCGAATGTTGTTGAGAAATGCTTAACTTTTGGCGATCCGAATGAACGGCAACTGTTGGTGAACGAGATGCTTGGCACAACTGATGAGAATGAGCCTCTTCAGGTTTTTTTATCTATTGTTCATATGTTATATGTTTCAGAATTTCATTGAGAATAACCGTAAATGGAGATTTCTACTCAATTGGAATTCTTTTGATTTATATATGTCTAATCTCTTTTCTTTCGACTAACCAGGCTATGATGAAAGATCAATTTGCAAATTACGTCGTACAAAAAGTGCTCGAGACCTGTAGCGATTCGCAACGTGAGCTTATCATGTCGAGAATCAAAGTTCATTTGAATGCACTGAAAAAATACACATATGGAAAGCATATAGTAGCTCGCGTAGAGAAACTCGTGGCTGCTGGGGGTATTTATACACACATCTCGACTTATTTTGACATTTTTTGACTTTCTTTAAGTGATTAAAACCTTTTTTTTCCCTCTAATTATTTGTTGACAGAAAGGAGAATTGCTGCTCAGGCACAACAATCTGCATAGATCTGCGCTTGCTGTAAGGGAAGAAAGAAAGTTGTACAGCTAACTGAGGCTAGTTTGGGCTACCTCTCTTTATTCTCTTTCTTTCTCAGACTCTTTTCTCTTTGGTTGCAAATAAATCGGTTGCCTGTACTAAAAAAAACCTGTACATTGTGTAGTTTGTCGAGTTTATACATAGAGAGAGTAGTAAGCTTTTGAGGCTCAGAGGCCGAAAATCTTCCTGATGCAAAAGTGACGAGGGTGTAATATAATTTTAAGGCTGAGGTAGGTTTTATGATATGCCGAGTGACTGTACAAAAAATGATGGATGGATGGATTTTCATGTCATGTGGAGAAATGGTTGTCTAGGCGAGGCCGCGAGATATGATGTTATGTATGCATTCGATATATATATCTCGTTTTTCTTACTTGGCCACGATGCATTTACTCTGCTCAATGTTTTCTTTCGTGTTTTTTTTTGCCGTGTTGCGTAACTTTTTTGCTTATAGTAGTTGAGGCTACGTTAAGCGGTTGTATATTTTGTGACATTATGAGTGTTAGACAAGGATAAATCCTACACGACTACACGAGTTTTTTGCCGTGTTCATATAATAATTGGTTGATAGTATTTAATTATATTGATAATATTGAGAAGAGTTGAGTTGGATTAAAACTGAATTGGATTTTGAGTAAAAAAACAAAAAACAAATTATTTGGTCAGTCGAAACTAATTATAATCTGTAGCCATCAACACCGATTATAATTTGTAGCCAACTGCTGCTTAAGTACTTCTAAACTAATTGTACATTGTAACCCTTCGTTTGTTTCTTCACCGTGCAGACCATGTAGCCTCTTAATAAGTCTGTCGTTGAGATTAACCACAACCGAGAGTCAATATTGTCGTTGCCAATCCAGACAATGGATTTGACGAGCGATGAATTCAGATTCCAACAAAGAAAAGAAAAGCACAAAAGTCACTCGAAGTTTACTGACATTTTAGAGTTATGGTCGTAGAACAGTCGTAAAAAATCATCAAAATAATATCTCTAGTTCCTCAAGCAAAAATGACCTCTCTCTTCAATAGAAAAATGAAGTTTGTAGCCAAAACTTTCCAGTTTTCTTTAGTATGACCCACCGGATGAGAAGATGTGTACAATGCTCGTCTACTTGTCTGGTGCTTCAATGATGGGCAATGAATTGTATATGGCGATTCTAACATGTTTTTGGCTAGAATGAGAATTTGAACCAAGCTGTACATTCTGACCTATCTCATCATCTCGCCATATCTTAACGAAAAACCATATCATGACATTAATGTCGTATACTATGATCAGCCAGTGGGTATACAAAACTCGTACATAATCTACACAATAGCTTCATTGTATCACCGGCTATCCTCCCAAATGAATCTCCATACAAATTACGCGTAATAATCCAAACTCTAGATGTCATTCAACTCCTCAAGCATCAAATGGAGGAATACGACTCGAAATCATTTCTCATTAAATCAACTTCAGAACTGTTACCCTACACACAAGTGGAACTTTTTTTCACCAGCCAAGAACACGAACAACTCAAAGAAAGAACAAAACTCACTGCAGTGCAAGACTCTCCAATCAGTCTGCCTCATCCACATAACCATCTTGCTCGATTTTCCAACCGAACCCTCTTGGCCCGGCTCGAGCCCGAGCTCTCACTTTCCCCTTTTTCCCACCTCTCTTCTTCTTGGATGCCTCTTCTTTCTCAAATTTTTCGCTCTCCCTTTTCTGCAAGAAGTCAGCCACAGCTATGTAGATAACCTGGAAATTCAACAAACATTCACGAGCTAGCTAAAATCAACAAAACACATCATTCCCAAAACAAGCTCGCAGCTTTTTGCGAACACTCGGCCATTATTAGCCCACGAATGCATCTGAATTGAACATCACCCAACAGAACAAAACAAGAAAGGGAAAGAACAAACTGACCCCTATGGTGAGAATGGATAAACCGACAAAGGCAACAAATAGAAGGGCTGATATGACTGTTGAAACGCCGTCGTCTCTTGTGGTAACAATTTCTCCAGGAATCTCAGCTGGGCTCGTTTCTGAAAGCAAAAAGACTCCATTTTTAGCGGAGAGTTCCCATGATTTGGCGGTTTTAGGCCGAACCTCGGCTTCCGGTGAGTAGAGATAAAGAGATCTTCTTGAAGTTTGTGAGGATCGGAGTGTGGGTAACGGGCCGTACGGAGGATAAATTGAGGTCCGGGCCTTGTGGAAAGGTTCGGGTTTCTTGAGAATTGCAGGTGGTGAAGAGAAAGAAGCAGATAATGCAGCCATGTGTGGCTGTGTGCAGCTTCCTAATCCTTTCACATTCTGCGTGCCTACAGTTTGGGAGATGATTTACTCGCATTTATCCAATAGCGCTTGGATGAGATGGCTTGGGTCTCTTCCAGCTTAACCAGTGGTCTCGTGTTCGAGCCCTGGGAATGCAGCAGTGTTAAAAACTCTTGAGGGAGAGTTTTGCCGCCCTTGTGGTCCTACCCGGCTCGATTCCAGATTAGTCGGTTCCCATGTGGATCCGGAAACCGAAAGGTCCCTGTACAAAAACAAAAAAATTTTAACTTTATTTTTGTAAGAAAAGGAAATTTAGACCATGTTTTTTTTTGGTACATGGGCCTTCCGGTTTTTAGATCCACAGGGGAACCGACTAATCCGGAATCGAGTCGGGTAAGACCACAAAGGCGATAAAGCTCTCCCACAAGGGCGGGAAATTTAGAGCATGTTTGTTTATAAGAATTTTCAAAAAAATTCCAACATTTTAACCCAAATTTTTTTTTTTTTTTAATTCAACTTTAACTCAACACGACTATCATCAATATTACCAATATACTTAAATAATAGCAATCAGTCATTCATACACACCACATCAATCTTAATTCACTATTTATCTACTCACATAATTTTCACTAACCATCACATCACATATTATCTCTCCTACTTTTACATCAATTTAATTTTAATCATTTTAACTCACTTTTGGTCTCTAAATTCACTTTTAAAAAAAAAATTATAATTTTTATTGGGATGTATAATTTGAAAGCTTATATGATGAGTTTTATAATAAGATATGGCTAAAATTCATCTATAAGATTTTGGTTAGTAAAAATTCATTACCTACCTTACATCCAGCTGGATAGATATTTAGCAGATCAAAATATCTGCCTAAAGCGTCCAGCGTGGCACCCTTTTTCTGGAATCTTTAATTTGCACTTTTTCCACCCTAAACATTTCTTATTTATATTTTCTATCCACCGCCTTCTTACCTTCTCCGACCTCCCTTTTCAATCCCCCACTTCACCGTCCCCTAATCCATCTCGACCTCCAATCCCTAAATTGAATCCCTAAATCTTTTGATTTGAATTTCTGTTTTGTAATTATCCCACATGGGCGAGGAATCCAAGATCGATGACGTCGTCGCCGAGTGGGAAGCGGGCCTCCCCTCCTCCGACGACCTGACGCCCCTCTCCCAGTCGCTGATCCCCGCCGAGCTGGCGTCGGCGTTTAAAATCTCTCCGGAGCCCTCCAAGACGGCGTTCGACGTCAGGCGCGCCTCCGAGAGCACTCTTTCTTCTCTCCGAGCCGCCGCCGCCAAGCCGTTCGTCGGTGCGGACGAGACGGAGCAGGAGGAAGGATCCAACCCGAAGAAGACCCGGAGGACGGCGGACCAACCCGGACTAGGCGACGACCCCGACAGCTCTGCTGACGACCAGGCCGCGAAGACGCTGAAGAGGCAGCGGCTCGTGTGGACCCCGCAGCTGCACAAGCGCTTCGTGGAGGTGGTGGCCCACCTGGGTCTGAACAAAGCCGTGCCCAAGACGATTATGCAGCTGATGAACGTCGAGGGTTTGACCCGGGAGAATGTGGCGAGCCACTTGCAGAAGTACAGGCTCTATGTGAAGAGGATGCAGGGTTTGTCCACCGAGGGCCCATCCCCATCTGATCATCTGTTTGCCTCCACGCCTGTGCCGCCACAAAGCTTCAACGAGTCGTCTTGCGGTGGGCCCAGCCACAGTAATGGGATTGTTAATGGAACCCATAGTGTGAGTAATCATGTGGGGATGCCGATGATCCCGATGCCTTATCCTCTGCCACCACCGCAAATGATGCCAATGGCGGCAAACGGACATGGGTTTCATGGATATGAATCAGCCCACTCATATAATAATCATTACCAGCAGCAGTATAACAACATGGTGCAGCAGCAAAAGGACTGGTCCAGGAATAACTACAATGGCTATCCGTATCACGTGACTCAGGACAATAGCAAATATTAGTTGGAGCACTGCTGTAAGTGGAACTAAAGGTGAGGCCGTTGATAGTTTTGTGTTGCTTAATTGTATGGGGTTGTTTGTGGTTTTCTTTAGCTGTTGATGAATTGGTAATACAGGGTCTTGTGACTTCTTGCATTGGAATGTGGCATGTGAAACCTCAGCTTGCAGTTTTGTGTTAGCCAATCTTTTTTTATTTTTGGGTCTCATTATGATACTGCTCAAGTACCTCTTCTACAACATGATTCACTCGTGTCTTATATATGACTTTTGGACTATGTATATTACGGCATCAACAATCAAGTGATCCTTTGATGATTTAATTGAAAGAAACCACTGAACGTTGTATGGTAAAATCTTACTCGAAGGAGACAAAATCGAGATTGTTTTCCGAAGAAAGAAGGACAATAGTTGATAATTTTGTGGGTGGTGGTGGAAGTAAAATTTTAAGGAAAATTTAGTTTATTCATGTATATTAGCTTAACTAAAGCAACAAAGAAGCTACGGATTCTCGTAACTCCAACTTTAGTTATAAATATTGTCATTATTCATTAAGCAGTTGTTAATTTGGTTATAATTTTATTTTTTATGTTGTTAATGGCCATATCATAGAGTGCTTGTTTGTGTTACATTTTATCCTCATTAGTGTGCTATAAAAATTTACTTCCTGGACTATTATAGTTTGGTTAGTTTTCTTCTTGTATGATTTTTGCTACACCTTTGAGCATTTAAAAGCCCAACAAAAGTTTCATCCTCTTATCAGTTTCACTGGACATGAGATCTCCGGTTGCTTGATTTTATATCTCATGTTTTCTTATACTGCGTGGGAAGCAAGTACAATATAGACCATCATGCATTTATTGTGGTTTCCTTTTGTCCTCATGCCTTGATGTGTGTATATGTTACTTTCTAATGCTTTTATATGTTCATCATACAGATGTGTTCTATGATTTCTTATGTTGAAATTGCCCGATTCTATATATTGTATGGCTTTTCCCCTATATGGGTGCCCGTTCCACCTAAATGATAGATTTTGTCCCTTTCCCTTTTGTTTTATGTTTGATGATGATTATTAATAAGAAAGAATATTAATCGGTAGGTGTTAAAACTTGTGAAAACTGAAAACCCAGAAGTTTTGCAAATACTTGCAAGCATTTTGTTTTAGGTTATGCACTTGATCTGATAACTACTATCTCAAATATTTGACATCTTTCATTTTTCCAGTAACTGTCTTGATTCTTGCAATCTCAAAAAGTTACACATGGATTAGGGGCTTATTAGAAACACATGTGGAGATATGAGTTATAATTAGGCTTGGATTCCGTTAGCGAGCTGAACGTATGTTTTAGTAAGTTTTTATTCTTTCTTTTATCAGTTATTTAGGTGGCTATCGGATATCTGGAGAATTATTTTTCCATTGGATTGTGATTGGGTACAAAACTTTTTCAGAAAATACTGTATTCATTCCGTCTCACTTTTTTTCTCTCCAATCTCATCAACACAATTTAAAATTAAAATCAATTAAGTACTATACATTTCTCAAAAAAAAAAAAAAAGTACCAATCAATATTCTACAATTTTTATATTAAATCAACTTTAACTATTACAATTTTTGTTCGGCCAAATTTTTTTGTCTACCTTTCCATCTCTCTTGTTCAGCTGAGACAAACGTTTTCCAGTAATGTCAATATCCGATTGTCTTTTAATAGTGGTTCTTGACATAGTTGTTAAAAGTGCATTTAAGTAGGTTTCTCTACGTCTGCATTTTCTAATTCGTGTTGATGAGATTGGAAATGTAGGCTCACCCAGGAATCTCTTGTATTCCAACAATAGAATGAGATTAAAATGCTGCAGCACTAGTACAGATCTGAAGATGTTCTAAGCGCATTCATCGCTATGTACACCTTACAAATAAAAACGTAATTTGGTACGTGCAGGAGCAATATTACTTGAATTAGTGCCTTTTTTGCAGTATGATTACTCAAAATTATGCCACTTTTCATGCATTTCAGAACAATAAGAAGTTGAAGCCACTTTGTAAATCGGTTAGTGAAACTGAAGCCATCAATATTATATTCTTTGGTATCTGAGTTAGTTTTCCGGTTTCATACTCTTCTGTTGGGAATTGAGAGTACGATGAGATAATTTTATTTTTATGTGCGATTTTTTATGATAAAATTTTATGTGTATGAAAGATTACGATGGAATTTCCTTTTGCTGAAGTTTGAGTTGAAGCTCAACACCACAGCAACAAGTTGGTGGTTTTTCTTGACCGGCTAGTTTGTATGCCGATTAACGTTTATGCTCCAAGACACAAAATAACTGCACCACTTTTTTGTTTCAGACAAGTGAAAGTTTTCGAAAAATGTTTCCCGAGATCTTATCGTCATTTTGGGCAGTTTAGTCACTCATCTTTCACCTCTCTGTTAGGGTGCCATGATGTTTTGTTGTGGACTTGGCCAGATTTTGAAGTGTTCCACTTCAGAACTGTCTAAAAGGAAAAACAGCATAAAACATGTCTATAGTAATAACTCTCTGAACACAAGTGCATTTTTTTTCCCCCACATTTATGTGCTACCGTTTTGATTTTTTTTTTTTTCCATTAATATTATAAAAGATGTTGATTTTTCTTTAGTTTCACTGCAGTGCAGTACCATGCCACATTTAAGAAATTTAACGAACATATTAATAACTATTGGACGGAATGAATAAACTCTAAACAAGTAATTCTATCGATTCATAGATATTGATATTTGCATTAATTAAATTGCATATAGAACTTACAAAAATCCGACTTTAAGTGCTCTTCAACATTGGTTCTCTTGTCCTCTCCAACATTGGTTCTGTTTTCCTCTCCAACGATGTGTTTGTCTTTCCATATGAATTATTTCTTGAAATAAGAGTTCATGTGTATGAATTGTTTCTCAAATAAGAGTTCTCAAAACCAAATTTTGTGAACTTTTTTAGATATGATTTTTTTTTTTTTAATTTATATATATATATATTTTTTTTAATTTTAATCATATTTCCCACACATATTCACCAAATTTAGATTTGCCTCCCCATCATTTATCTAATGACCATTAATTATTCAAAAATGATTTAAAAATATAACTAGACAAAACAAATTAATACTCATGGATGATTTCAAAATGTAATTAAATAAAACAAATAGATGAAGGATTTTTTTTTATTTTTTTTTTTTAAATATAACATTACTTAACCTTAAAACTTGAAAGATTCTACAAAAAAATTAGTAACTTTGAAATTTGAAGGAAATTGTGGATTTTTTTTTTAGTAGCTTGAAAAGATGATGAATACACATTTATTTATAACATAAGCTTAAAAAATAAGAAATTTACACTCAATATTATTCATCAGTCAATGGCATCTCACAAATAGCATCAAATTAAGCCACATCCAAGTTTAAATAAAGAAGCAAAACTAATTACACTATTAATAAATTAATTAATCATTAGCGGTAGCCAGCTGAAGAGAGAGCAATAATTCCTCCTCTG